TAAGCAGCTGACAAGAACCTACGAAATAAAATGAATTCATGTTTTTCTGTTAGAATCTTTGTTCTTGCTCTTTTCAAAATGATAACGGGAACTATGTGTATGAAATGTGTCATTGTTGTTAAATATATATACATTTATGATTGCATAAATAGTAATCTGTTTGACTTCATTGAATGTTTCCTATTCAATAATTAAAATGAAAGACGTCATTTGTACAATGAACTGACGATAATTTATTGTTAAACTTATTAACTTTATTATTCAATTTTGAGACTAAGTATACGATTAATTCATTATTGTATTGGTTGTTTGATTACTGCCATTGATGTTTAGAACTTGCATAGATTGCCTTGATATTACCTTAAGTCACATACATTATAAGCAGAAATGGTTGGTGGCTAATACCGTAACCGCACAAACCAGTGGCTATCTGGACTCAGTGGCTATGTCAATAACATGACAATGATTGAAGCGAGTGGTACTGGGTTCGAGTCCTGGAGTGAACATCAACTCGGAAATAAAGACATCGAGATGACGAGTCCCAAATAAAACGAAACACCCATCGAACTGGATTCCATCGCTATCCATTATTCATCTTTACTTATAAGTATAAGATTATTTATTTTCAATAGTCAAGAAGATGAATTGTTATATTCCATAAAGAGAAGATTAGTACTTTTTTATCACTTTTTATTATCACTGAAGTTAATATTTAGTTGTTATTTAACAAGTAATAAAATTAAAGAAAAGATTTTAGTTATGTACAGGTAGTTTTCACCAAAGACTAAAAGCATTCAGTGAATAATTTAATTTAATTTATTAATTGAATTAAATTCACTTGGTATTGTATACTTGAATCTTTCCATTGATGTTTAGAACTGAAATTGATCAGTCTCTTATTGGTATATGTGCATACTGTGAGTATTGCTATAAATCACTAGCATCATATAGAAAGATGGATGATGTCTAGGAGTGGAATTCAGGATGCATGTTTCGTCCTATTACATGGGTATATCCATTGCACAAGCAAGTGGCTATCAGGACTCAGTAGTTAAGTGGATAAGGAGATGGCGTTTGATTTCGAGTCCCAGAGTGAACATTAACTCAGCGATGCAGGCATATCCGGCTGACGAGTTCCATATAGGAAGCAATATACGTCAAATTGGATTCCATTTCTGGCCACTATCCTTTTTTTGCTTAAATACCTGAATTGTTTAAACTTTGAACTATAATAGCCCGACATGATAAAAGTCTTGTGACTATTACCATGATGTTAAGTTGTTCGATAAGGTTTTGAATCATTCACATACTTCAACTTTAGTCAGTTTGAAATATAACATAATGGCTAGCGGTTAATACCAATAAGAAAATGACTCACAGTTGACTTAAGTGGACATTTGTGTACTACCCTAGTCAATCTAATTTCATTCTTTTGACACTAACCGAGTCAACCTAGTAGAAGTTACAAATTCTTAAAGATTCTAGCGATATCATCCTAACAAATTATTATCATTATCAAAGACTTTATTCAATATATTAGACAACTAATCGTCATTCATCAGTGTTAATATCTAACTTTAATCATCCATAATTGACTCGTGAATTCAACTATTACAATACTACTACTACTGATACTAATACTAGTACCACCACTACCAATACCACTACCACTACTACTACTACTACTACTACTACTACTACTACTACTACTATTACTACTACTGCTAAAATACTACTCCACAAATCCCCATTCTCATAAAATATATTTAGTTAGTTAACCTATCACATGCTATCCATAAAAAAAGTGTTAAACTTCAAAAATGAAAACTTATGGTTGTTTGTTTGTTAGTTAGTGTTTTTCTCAGAAATTTAAAACTACCAAAAAAAACCCGAACAATAAGTCAAATGAAACATTATGAAATAATAAAAAAATGTTTGTTTTTGTTTTTCTTTTCTCTATCCCGGAGACAATAAGAACTTAATTGAGTATAAAATTTAAATTTTCTGTTTTTTCGTTTTTTTGTCTTTTTTTTGTTTTTTTTTTAGTTTTTAACTTATCAAACACCACTATAATTTATTATTATTCTCATGCTCATGAGAAACAATATTCATATGAACATGTGTGATAAAAGAAATACAATTTAGTTATAGGGAATAGAAAACTTTAAACAAAGAAAAAAAATTCATCCATTTTTATGTATCTACTATCTATAGAGTGTTGTATGTGTTATATATACCTTTTATCTATTTAAATAGTGTTATAATAAAATAAGCATATAACAAATAAATAGTGTAATTTTAATGGTTATTTTTTATTATTAAAAGGGTGTTTTGTGGAGAGTTTAGGAGTTTTAATAGTTGAATTCATGAATCAATTGAAACTAGATTACCACTGAGAATTTGGAATGATTTGATGGTTATTTCATTTTAGTATGAAACTCATCAGTTGTGAACATCTATGATTCCGCCTCACAAGATTCAAACCCATGAAGTTAAAAATTAACATTGTTGGATACCGGCCGGCTTAATGATTTAGAGGTTAAGCATTCATGCGCGAGACTAATAGGTTCTAGGTTCGAATATCACGGAATGGGATTATGGATGCGCATTGCTGAGCAGTCCAGGTTATTTTTATATTTACTCACAATGAATTATGGATTTTATTCATGATTATGAACACGTGAATATAATAGATATTTTCTAGAGTTATGGGTACACGTTAAAATGAATAAATACATCTTAAATGTTGTTTATTTAACACTTAAATAGGTATCTTTTGGTTAGTAATAGTCAGGTTCCACGTTATATTCATCGACATGTTTGCATTATTCATATGAATATATGAAATAAATGTATATCGTTTAATATGTATACAGTTATATTGTGAATTTGGTATTTGGTGAGACTATAATTTATGGACGAATTTCGAGCAACATTAAAGTGACATTGAGATTATCCACCTACTGACTAGAATTGAATGAGGGTTATAAGGCATTGTGAAGAATAAGGATTATGATTTATAGTTGGTGGTTATGGTTAGGAATTAAATTTATGGTTTTCGTCATGAACTGACATCAGCTAGAATGCCAAAACTCTGTAGACAAATGGGCAAATGAATTTCACAACGAAATCCGAGTCCTGATATCCTAAATTCGATTGGTTCGTCCATAAATTATAGTCTTGCCTAATATTCTAATACCAACCGTATGCCGGTTAGCCGAAGAACTTAATATGAAATTTAATATGAATTATTATTTCATTCTAGTCGATAACTATATAAGCGATAATCAACAGATACTGACAGAATGACTAAATATTATCTTACTGGTAATGAAATCGAAAGGTCATATTTCTTCTCCATTCAGGTGCCGATAATGGTAACGGCGGCTGGAACTATCATTCATGACACTGTCTTCCATTGTTTCCTCAACAGGTGACGTTTCGCAATATTGAATATATACCATATATATAGTAAACAGAATGGGGGTTTTTGAAGATTATAGTAATTTAATAGTTGAATTCATGAGTCGATTTAAGCTAGACCATCATTAGAAACCTGAAAGCACTGGACAGCCGTTTCGTCCTAGTATAGGATTTTTCAGCAGTGCGCATCCACAATCCGCATGCGGGATTTAAGTTAGACATTAATACCGTGGAAGCCGACCCAGTAGTCTACTAAGCGATCGTGAGCGACGCGAAAGGTCCTGGATTAGAATTCCGTGTGCAGGGTCATGGATGCACACTGCTCACAAATCCCATACGATGATGAAACTGCCCGTTGTGTGTTTCCGGGTTTCCAACGGTGGTCTAGCGTGGATTGATTCATGAATTCAACTATTAAAGCACATATATCTATGAAGTTATTTAGCACGTGTGACAATGAGATTTTACTGAATTTTACGTAAATGTTCTTTCATATTAAAATATAATCAAAATTATGATTATAGTACAAAAACTCTGAATATCGGGATCGAGCCCAGAAGTCTCTTCTCCAAAATCTACTTTAAAACCTTATGACAATTTATTTGGTAATCAACGGTCTACACACTCGTATTTTCATTCAATTTGCGACATTGTAACATCATCCCTCATTCTCAGTGGGGGAAAAATTTCTCATATGAGACACTATTGAATTTAACTGGTAACAGTTTCTCACTAGAGTTTGAGGAATTACCTCTTAAAGTTAGTCCCTACTGTATACATGGTTAATAATAAAATAAAACATTTCAAACAATTACTGTATGTTATAGTTTACATTTACCAAGAGATCACATTTTAGGACGAAATAGCTGTCTAGAAATTCTTGGTTATTGAATGATCTAACTTCGATTCATTCATGATGCTGACTATAAAGTTCATCAATCTCCACAAACTATTTACCTCCTGATTGGTTGAAAGTACTCAGTAGCTAGTTTTAGATTTAATTTATGTCATAATTAATAAAGGCTAACAGTTTTGAATCAAATACTGCATGCACATATTAGTATAAAATAAAGTGTGGTTAACATTAGATAACATTAAATTATCAGCTTGAAAAGTCGCCTGTTTCTTTTCTTAACTACCCTTCAAACAAGATATAAGAAACATTCCGTTTAACAATTTAATAATAAAGTTATGCGGATTGTTGAGTTTACATTGATATTATGAATGGATCAATGTTCGATCATCAGTGAAAACCTGAAAGCATTGAAGAAACCATTTCGTTCTATACTGGGGAAAAAAGGCCGTCCACTGCTTCTAGGTTTTCAATGATGGTCAACATTGATCCACTCACTGTATCAATCCAATCTAATAATAATAATAATGATAATAATAATAATAATAATAATAATAATAATAATAATAATAATAATAATGATAATAATAATAATCGTGATTTACTTTGTTCCGCTTTATTTTCAAGTTTGCAGTTTATTCAATTTGTCCAACTTGATTAAATGTGAAGTGTTTTTTTATCTTTGTTACTTGTTTTCTTTCAATTATCTCTATTTTTCTCTTAGACAATACCTAGCGATGAGTTGGAATTGATGAAAAAAGAATTTATGGAAGCATTCGATGAAAATTCTGACAATCGAATTGAACTTACTGAAGTATGTTTAGGTAGTAATCATAATAGTTGTAGTAGTAGTAGTGGTGGTGGTGGTGGATATTGTATTCTATGTCAGAAATCATCTCAGATTATGTTCTTGTTCTCACAGTTAGTTGTAATCCATTAAACATTTGTTTTTCATCTGTCCACTTAAGTATGTTTTTATGAGAATAAAAATAGGAAGATGATACAATGATGACAGTCAATTGATTATAAAGTTCTAGGTAAATAGACTATGAATTATTCATAAGCGAATTTATTAAATGTATGGATAGATGCACCCATTCGAATGTGTGTACATTTTCGAGCAGAACATATATGTATATATATATGACAAATTCTCAAAAGAAAGATCAACACTTACTATCATTATTATTTTAGATAAGCTCATTACACAGAGAAAAGTATTTTAGACGATTAACTTAACATTTGTCACCCGTATTTAGGTGATATGACAAAGCGATTAGTATCAGAGACAAATATAGAAAACAAGACGGGAGAAATAAGCGTAGACAGGATAATTTGCCAAATTATTGTAATATTTATTACTAGTAATATTATTATTAGTATTAGCATTATTATGATAAATTAAAATGATGTCGGTCAGTCAGTCACTAACAACGCAGAACTTCGAACTTACTTACGCCAGTTCCAGCTGATATACCACATTATCACAGAGATGCAGTTGTCGATTCAAATCCCATAGTGGTAGAGAAAGTAAGAGTATAAGCAATAATCGCAAAGATTAGAGTTTGAAGATGTTATTCAAAGAGTACAATCTAGTGAAATGAATTTGGAAAGAGAAAAATTGAGTAATATGAAGAATTCAGAAGATAAAAATTCGAGAGAACACAAAGAGTGGATGCACCTAAACCATCACAAACGATTTTCAGACATGTCATTCAACGTTTCTAACCATCGGTTACTATCGTGTCGTGGATCCCAACAAGTTAGTCTACACCTACCAACGTGGCTCAGCCTACTTTTCAGTGACTTCATGGATTTGTGCCATGTTTTGGTCTGGCCGCCGCTAACTTCCTTCCAACCTACCCCTACACCATGATACATCGCACGTCGAGGTAGTCGGTGGTTGGGCATACGTAATACATGCCCCAGCTATTTCAACTTATGAAGTTCTACTACTTCATCAATTGATTTGACATCCTCACCTAGTGCCCGTTTCCTAACAACTGCATTAAGTACTCGTTGGTCTCAGGATATACGAGCAATGTTTCGAAGACACCTATGGTCGAATACTAGTAACCTACGAATATCCTCTACTCTTACTGGCCATGTTTCACTGTCATATGGTAGGACGGAACGAACTGCTGGGCAGGAAACCTGTCCTTTGTTTGGTAGACGGATAGCTCACCTTCGCCATATATGACGCAAGTTGGTAAAAGCCAGTCGAGCCTTCTATATCCGTGCCGATGTTTCGTTACACATCAAACCACAAGGGCTGATGAGACTTCCAAGATAAGTGGAGCGGTCGACACGCTCAATTACTTCACTCCCTATTATAAGTTCAGGTGTAGATGCGACCCAATCCTACAGCAACATTTTGCATTTCGAGTGGGAGAATCGCACCCCGAACATGCTTGCATTGTTGCTTAGAGTGTTCAGAAGACTCTGCATTTTGTCAGCGTCTTTACCAAATAGAACTATGTCAAGTTAACAGGTGATTTAAATGAGATTTAAATGAGGAAAGTGTCATCTCTAGAATCACGTCAACGACAAAGTTAAACAACAATGGAGAGAGAGTACAGCCCTTATCTAAAATGATGAATCCAAATGAGGCCTCTGATAAATTATTCAAATGATCTTTTGCGTTATCAGCTGTAAATATAAACACAAGGATTGTAACTTAACGTCAACAAGACATGTAACACTTTACACATGTAGACTCTAGTCGAGTATATGGTCGTAATCAATAACATCTCATCCACTTCTCAGTATGGATAGAGTTCAATCAGAAGATTAACTAGTAAATTAAATGTTTCCGTGAAGACTGATTGAATACAATCAGATTATTTTGATCAACAGTGTTTGGTGTTTATCTCATCATTGATCAGTCTATGTCTACTAAGATAACAGCACTCGATAGTATACAATAATGAATGAACTACACTATGAATAAATGCGTTCATTTCGTTGCATGCTAGTCACTTGTTTCCATATTCACAATTAGAAGTTATATATACACTAAGATGGAACAGTTTTTTTCTAATGTTTAGTGCATAAATCTTAATGCAACCAAACCACGATATAACGCAATCATCTCTCATTGCCTGTGGTAGATAACTAACTGTCTTACAACTAACATGATTGAACCATGAAATCATTCATTAAACTTAAGTAACTAATTACAATCACTTCATTTTCTAACAAAATCGAAAATAATATTAATCTAATTTTAACAATAAATAAAATTGTTATACCGCGATAAGCATAATGAATGGTAACTTTTGGGATTCATATCGCAGAGGCTGAGATTGGTGTTCTGGACTTAACTGGCTTGGCTAGGCAGAAATCAGGACCAATAAGAACTCTAGATTGCTTGCACGGGTTTTACGCATCATAGATCCGATCGATAATACACTGATCTCTAATTGGCGGTATCGTTACGTTATACAATAAACAGGGCACACAGGCCACAAGTTATAACAAAAGTCAATAATGATTGTTTGTGGAATATTGTTCCTTCTGTACTATTTACTGATAGTAACAATTAAATGAATAAACAGCTAATTATGATTGAACACTTTCTTATAATAATCTGTTACCATTTCTTTTTCTATCTTCTATAATGTAGATGGCTAAAATTTTACCAACTGAAGAAAATTTTATTCTGTTGTTTCATCGTGATAATCCATTGGATTCAAGTGTTGAATTTATGAGAGTAAGTGTTACATAATCGATAAATTTCTTACATTCTTCCTACTTGTCATGATTAGAAAAACAAGTGTCAATCAAATATCATAAGATGAATAGTTTGTTTTATTTATACTTTTAAGTAACCGTGAAATGTTGCTGTGTAATTAATAAAAGTTAAATGAAGAGATCTGTGTATGATAGTGATGATGTCTTGTGATTAAAAATTATTTTATTAGACTGTCAAAATACTACTTAAACTTTATTCTTTAGTAATAGAGGTAACATTATTAAATAGATTATGAGATATTAAATGGTTGAAGCCAATGGACATGAAAACCTAGTTTTAGGTTTCGTGTTAGTTGAGATAGATTTGACAAGCATACCTATTATATGAAGAAACTAATTCTCCCTTGTGAATTCAAACCCTCATCATCCGGTGAATGAACATCTGTATTTCTAGAAAACATTAGTTATTCTATCAGTAAACAATGAGTTCTGGCTTTTACAGTGATGTTAAATATTTGAGTATAACTATTAGTTACGGACAAACCACTATGTTGGACAAAATGGTCACGCACTTCACTTATGCAAACATCAACACAAATTATCAATGAAATGATACGATGTAAACAACTAAAAAAATTAATTCAAATGGGAGAATACAAAACTACAGATCGATGAAATTTCTGTCATGTCAGTTTCATCAAACGTAAATAACCAATATTATATAATACTTGAGTGAATTTTGAAACAACTTACTGTCCAACCATTAAAGTCACTCTTTTTCATGTTTGATAGTGTAAAAAAACGAAATATTTTTCATTCAACACATGGTCGAGATCATTTATTTAATTTTCAGTAATTTAAAAAGTATTAGCTTTAATTTGAGACCATGAGGCTGAAGGTCTTGGGTTCAAGTCTCGTATGAAGGATCGTGGGTGTGCACTACTGAGAAGTTTCATACTGAGACAAAACAGTCGTCTAGTGTTTCCAGGTCTTTAACTGTGGTCTGATATTGATCGGTTCATAATCTCAACTGAATTATCAAAAGTATCAAATCTTATTTAATTCTATCTAAAAGTTTTTTTTCAAAAAAAGCACAACTTACTTGAGCTACATTTCAGATTGTATTATCTGTAAGATATTTTTTTACGAACTAAAAATACATAACTACAAAGTAGCACAAAACAATAATTGCTTATAAGCTGAAATGATCATGGCTAATAGTGTAATCCAGTGTGATGCGCGTTTCGTCCTATTTGAGACTCGTCAGTTAGATGTATCTGCATCTCAGAGTTGATGTCCACAGAATACCCACAGAATAATTTGATATCCGACTTGTTTTAGTTAATAAATAAATACATTATTTATATTATTTGAGTGGCTACATAAGATACTTAAAAAGTTCAAGGCATAAATTAAGTAATAATAACAATAATAGTCACAATAGGATGTGGAATGTCTAGTGGCAAAAGGTTAAGAAAATTAAAAAGAACAGGATGAGAACAGAGTGTGATTAATATGGAAATGAATAACTAATAAAGTCTAAGAGAACTGATAGATATTTTGCAAATGAAATATCTACTCTATGGTTCTCAAATTTTACCATAATATTCTGTAATGTTATTATTAAAGTACGTTTGGTTGTTACCGACTTTGTTTTCATTCATCACAACATTTATAATGTAAGTTAATTGACGTTTCCTATTCATACATTTATTTCTTTAGAATGACAACAAATGAAATGATACAAGTAGAGACTTTTAATGGAATAAATGAGGAGAAGTGTTATCTGATATATGTATATGTATATATACCTATTGACATTATTGTAACTAAATTCAACTTAACAATACACTACATTAATCAAAATGAAACAATCATAGGTGTTATTTTGATATGATTTATTCTAATGCAAAACCAAAACAAAATATCTTGCCTAGTTGACAAGGAAGAATTATTGTTCATCCTTGTTAGCTTCAATCCCCTTTAGATAATTGTCTGTATTTATGGATTACACTGAAGGTTGTTTTTTCAATATTCCTGTTAAATTATATTGACATTAAGTGGAGATTTTATAGTTTAGATGTTTAGTCATTGAAAAAAACCTATGGGGAACGACAATTAAGAACAGGGTAATATCCTATGGTTACAAGAAACACAACTAGTATGAATGAAAACTACCTGTTTGTTATAATTGATATTTCATTTATTATGTACATAATAATAATAATAATAATAATAATAATAGTAATATGCTCATTATTGACTAATTTCAAGATGGATTTTGTGGAGTTCTAATGAGCAACAGTGACCAGTGGAGCCAAATCCGTGTAGGGTATGAGGCAGTTATTCACCGAAGACAATGAATTAAGGAATGAACAAGATCATGGATCGATTGAAGTTAGGCATTAACACTGATGGATACCGTCTCAATATTCTAGAGGTTGAGCGCCTATGAGCGAAACTGATTGGTTTGGATTAGAGTCCTATGTTTTGAATCGTCGATGTGCAATGCTAGTGGGTCTCATACTAGGACGAAACGGTCGTCCGTTGCTTCCAGGTTTTCAATGGTGTTCTAGCTTACATGAACCCACAAATAGAACTAATAGAATTACTACAATGTCCACAAATCCCTATTCTTATAATAAATAATAATAATTAGTATCTACTTTGTAACTTCTGTCAATTATATTTCCATATAGTTATAAAATAACACTGTCTTCTAATAAATAACACGTAGGGAAATTATATACTGTCATGAGTTCATCCTATCAAACTTATTATGTAAAGACTTACCAACTTGAATTATATTTAAATAGAAAATCTCTGAAGTTATTGTTTATTACATAATGATATCAATTTGGATACTATTTAAAACTGGAGAGATAGACAGATAAAAGAGAAAAAAAGTGCTTATAATTTCACTTAAGACTGTTATTTAGTTATTTGTTTATCTATATCAGGAGGGTTTTTTGTGGATATTATAGTAATTACAATCGTTGAGATCAAGAGTCAATTCAAGCCGGATCATCACGGAAAACCTAGAAAAAATGGAATTCAACCGAATCTGTTGTGAGATAGTAACTCACTGAAGACAATAGTGGATGTTTAAAGCAATTGATCCCTTTGATAAATTTCGATAATGTAATAAGAAGACTTCTTATTACATTATCGAAATAGCGGATGTGTCACTCAATTTCATGAAATAGTTGAAGTTAGACATTAACAACATTAGATGCTAGCCTAGAGATTAAGTGTTTGCGTGCAAGACCGATAGGTCCTGGGTTCGAATCTCATAGGGTGGGATCGTGGACTCACACTACTGAGGAGTCCCAAAATAGAACGAAAGGACCGTCCGGTACCTCAAAGTTTTTCATGGTAGTCTAGATTCGATGGACTCATAATCTCAACCATTGAAATTATTTCTTGATTTAAACAAATAAACATTGGTACAAAGAGGCACCAAATAGATATGAACCACATAAATCATTCGATTTGTTTGAGGGCTGTGATACTGAATCAACAAAATAACTTTGAAATCATTCAATCAGTGTATGGTCTAGTATAATAACTATCTAGAATAATCAATGATTAACAATCGTATTCTTTTTCAAATTCGACATATGGAATCATGGATACTAACAACTGAAGAATTATAAAATAGAACAAAACAGCCGTCTAATACTTTCAAATTATCAATGATGATCTAACATTTATCGATTTTTATGCACTGCTGAGTAGTCCCACAATAGGACGAAATAGTCATTCAATGCTTCCATGTTTTTCATGGTAATTTAGATTTAATTGATTCATGATCTCAACTATTGAAAAATATAATTAAAGGTCTATTAAAGTTAAAATGTTTATCTATATCATATATTGTAAGTAAATTTATAGTGAACATATAAACAAACAAACAAATAAACAGAATCAAATTATTCTTAATTCCTTAACCTTGTATAAATAAATCAAATGGATAATGATTATTATTTGTGAATATGAAACTAGGACAAAATGATTATTCAATGTTTCTAAGTTTTAATTTTTCATTTCATTTCAAATTATTCAACACCAATAACAACAACAAGAAATTTGTTGTTGTTGTTGTTAGTAATATACATTCATAATAAATTTTATTGATATCAAGTATATCAATATTCTTTCTTTTTATTGTTATTAATTCAATTGATTTTTTTACAGTAACGAAATAGTAAAATCAGAAACACAAAGATAGATAGTGGTTATCTATGAAAATCTAGTTCGATGAGCGTTTTGTTCTATTTGAAACTCATCAGCTGGATAAACTTACATCTCAGAGTTGATGTTCACTGTAGGACTGTAAGACTCAGTAGCTGAGTAGATAACGTGATGGTATTTGAAGAGAACAGTACTGGATTTGAATCTTGGAGTGAACATCAATTTTAAGATGAACGTACATCCAACTAGTGAGTGTTGAATAGGACGAGACAAGCGTCCTGGATTACACTGTTAGCCAATATCGATCTTTGCTTAAAATCCTTGTGACTTATGGTAATATCGAGACAATGCGCACAGTATGCACATATAGCAATACAAGCAAGCATTACTAAGTGAATTATTACGTATTGTTTATGTTATAATTTGTGCTCTGTGTCCTATTAATGTATAACGTGATGATAACGCCAATTAGAGAACAGTGAATTATCGATCGGGTAAATGACATATAATATCCCTACGAGCAGTCTAGAGTCCTTATAGTTTCTGCTTCTCGCCTAGTCCTGCCTGTTACGTCCAGAATACAACTCTCAGCCTATGAGGTGCGAATCATTTGTTTCAAACATAATCGGTTTATATACCAACCAGAAAGACCACATCGTACCGTAAAATAGGAAACAACATTTGTACAATATTTAGCCAAATGTGGCTGTGAATTTGGAAGACTGTAATCAATATACTGAGAATAACTTAATAATGTTAAATCGTATAACAACACTTCATAGGTCAAAATAAAGCTCATAATAAGCTAGACACTAATATGGATAGTTTAGTTACTTAAAAACTATACAATAAATATATACGTACAGTATTGATCCATAAATGGATTCCAACAGTTACCATTGATTATACTCATCGGTATATTACAGTTTACATCATTAATCTATGTTTACTAGACCACCGTTTAAAACAATATATAATTATATCTTCATTTCGTTGTAGCATTGAATTCCTGGTTGTTTCAGATGCACGACTCTTCCATGGAGGATGAAACCCATAAAGTTTAATCCCGTGTATGAACACCTAACCTGTATATCACTAAGTCTTGTTCAAATGGTGCACATGTTTAAATGCAACCGCAATCATTTCTTGTTCATAGGATCACTTCATGTAAAGAAAAGTGCTAACGGTATAGTTGACTACATGTGACAATCTATCTATAAAAGGAAATCATTAATCAATAATGCTATTTTATACAAACCATATATTTATTTCTCTATAAATCATATCATAAAAGATCATAGTTTAATTTAATCACTGTTTAGATATTGAAAACAATTCTGTTTTTTTTTCAATAATAATAAATAGTTAGCAACTTATCACATAACTAAAATGATCAAAACTACAATTTATTTTAAAAGCTTACAATATAGTTAACATCTCAATTTCCCTCATCAATTTTTTTCGGGGGTGGGGGAGGAAAATCATAAGTCTTTGAGGAAAACCCAAAAATTTCCCCTAAAATTGAGAGATTGGGATTATGATAAAGATCTATATATCATTTGAAATTTACATATTCATAGTCATATTATTTATCCGTATAGTTACAATAATGTTATTCTCTTCTTTTTTGTTTTTCTTGAATTTACAAAATCAACTGTGAGCAGTTTTGTGATCTCTCAACAATCTTTAAATATAAAAAAGAGATCAAATTAAAAACTTGGTTTGCATAGTTTTGTTTTTTAAGATAAAATAGTTTTATTGGGTTTGTAGGAAAAAAACTTAACCAATAATCTATCCTATATGGGAAACTGAAGACAGTTTACTATGTGGTACATTAGAAATCATGAAATAGAGTGTTTCCGACTTAAAGAAGGTTATTAGAGATTTGAATAGTTTGATGGAAACTTATTCAACATTCAAATTGTTTGTTGTGGGGTTCAAAGTGTACAGAATTGATTGGTCTATTTTAAATTACTGATAATCATTATTGACAAGTGTTACGCAGGATTTCCACTGATCACCATTAACTACCTGTCTTCAAATAACTTGTCTAACGATGTTAATTTATTCATGCTAATGATCACAGCACACATTTATCACTTTTGATAGGCAATAAAAGCTGGATAACAAAATACTGATTATTTGTACCGATGGGATTAAAATGTTTCGGTTTTTAAGAATTGATGATAAATGAGGTCATAGATCACGACAAAATACATGGATAATTATCAGAATGGGTTTTGTGGAGATTTTTAGAAATTTCACTTGCTGAAATCATTAGTCAGTTGAAGCTATACCACCATGGAAAACCTGGAAGCATTAACACAGTGGGATGCCGGCTCAGTGGTCTAGTTGGATAAGCGCCTGGCGCGAGACTGATAGGTCATGGGTTCGAATCCTGCGGAGTGCGGGATCGTGGATGCGCACTGCTGCGGAGTCCCGTACTAGGACGAAACGGCCGTCCAGTGCTTCCAGGTTTTTTCATGATGGTCTAGCTTCAATTGACTCATGATTTCAACAAGTGACATGGATAATTATTTGATTTTTTGATCTTGTACAACTCTCATTTAAATCAAATTCAGGCATGAGATCAGTCAGAGCATTGATTAAATGTAAAGAATGTTAATTCTATGTCTTATACCTAACTTGAGACATCTCATTGACAAAATTCAATACAACAATACAGGATCAAATTAATGTAAAAAGTGAAACAATGAGATACGGTTGGATTGGATAATTCTCACAAAGTATTTCAAACTGAATAAACAGAAAATCTGCTGAATATCAACTGACTACAACAAAATTTCATGCTTAACATAAAACCATAGTGTTCTAAGCTATTCAGTGTACCTCATTTTATTTACATTTTACGGAGTATATCAAGAAATTATTTAGCAACCTGTGAATAAGATTTTTACTGGCCTGAGATCTGACTCCAGGTAGATCATTTACTTCATGTCATCGAAATATACATGTGAGCTACCTTCGTATATAATCGTTGACTTAATTCGCGTTAGTGAATAACAGAATCAAATAAGACAAATACTAGAATGAATTTCGAATACGTATATTTCATACAGTCATAGATCCAGATAGACGATCAAGGAAACGAAGCAAAGAAAGCGAAGAGGACAATGCGAAAAGATGCGCGATGGAGAAGGAGTGTGAGCCAACTCGATTTAGCCAAGAGTGAATCAATACTTATCGTCGTACAAAACGTTACAGACACATAATGAGTAAAGTAAGCAGTTAGCACGCATACGGTCATATAAAACACAATCAGGATTAATTAGCGAATAAATGACAGTGTAAAAATGTGAATTGAGAAGAATGAATAGGATTGATCTGTTCAGAGGCTGGAATAACCTAAGTGGGCTTGAAATAGTACCATCTCCTACAATTTATAGTCTGAACATTTCGTCTTATTTAAAACTAATACCTGTTAGTTGACAGTCTCATTAAATTACAAATCCATACTGAATTAATTTTTTTTTAAAGAAAATAGCAATTCATTATGATTTTCAACCTGTCATATTCAAGAAAAAACATATCTGAGCGTAATTATCACATTGTTATGCTTACTACATGTGTTATTCTTTGATTTCTCACATCCTTTTTATAGGTGTGGAAACGTTTTGATAAAGATAGAAGTGGATATATTGAAGCTGATGAATTGAAAGTAAGTGATCAACATGTTTTAATAGTTGAATTTATGAGTCGATCTAAGATAGACCACAATTAAAAACCTGGCAGCACTGGATGGCTGTTTCATCCTAGCAAGAGACTCCTCAGCAGTACGTGTTCATGACTCAGCACAAAGGATTCAACCCCAGGACTTTCGGTCTCGCGTGTAAACGCTTAACCTCTAGACTACTGAGTCGGCATCCATAAACCCAATATAGTAAATTATTATTCATTTAATTAATTATTAAAGATGAAAATTATTTTCAAAATATTTACTTGGTCAATTTTCAATCATTACAACTAAATATCCTGAATGAATTCATTGAAAGTTTACTTGATTCTTTTCATTTGTTTTAAGATACATAAAGTGTGTGATCGGATCAAATGTTTAATGAAATATAACACATAATATAGAATTATTATGGTATAGGAATAGGTTGGAAGAAAGTTAGGGGCGGCCAGACCAAAACATGGCACAAATCCATGAAGTCACTAAAAAGTAGACTGAGCCACGTTGTAGACTAACTGGTTGGGATCCACGACACGATAGCAACCGATGGTTAGAAACGTTGAATGACATGTCTGAAAGTCGTTTGTGATGGTGCAGGTGCATCCACTCTTTGTTTTCTCTCGAATTCTAATCTTCTGAATTCTTCATATTACTCAATTTTTCTCTTTCCAAATTCATTTCACTGGACTATACTATTTGAATAACATCTTCAAACTCTAATCTTTCCGATTACTGCTTATACTCTTACTTTCTCTACCACTATGGGATTTGAATCGACAACTGCATCTCTGTGCTAATGAAGCATAGCAACTGAAACTGATGTACGTACGTACAAAGTTCTACTTTGTGACTGACTGACTTTAGATAATTCTATTGAAGTTATATTCCTTATCTATGTAACAATTGTTTGTAACTTGTGGAAAATTATCTGAAGTGAAGAATTCTAGTTTTCTTCTATATGACAATAGCACCGAAAATAACACACTTCATTTGTGCAAACAAATGTATTAAATGATCTTATTCAAGATGTATGTGATTCGATAATCATTTTATAGTCTCAAGTGATATATCGTGTGTTACGTGCGTATTCACGCGATCATTTTTTGTGATATCTAAATCAATTACATAATTTACATCTGGTTCATATTTATCGGTCATTATGTCTTCGACAACTTATGTATTAATGTGTCTTCTATGTGTTTTCAATATTACGAAGGACCTGTATGGATATTAAATTTTAGTTGATACTGATATTGACTTTGATAGACAAACAACTAGCATGAAATGCCTAGTTGCCTATTAACTTATATTTTTATCTTCATATCAATCTTTTGTTACTTCTAATGTCATTCAAAGTAGTATATGCTATTTGAATAACTAGAAATTCTATCATTTACATAGAATTCATAAGAATATAATTTCTTTTTTATAAGAAACTTGACTAGAAAATATTTCATTGCATGCATACAATGGTAGATCTCATTATACATCATGTTATGAGAGTACATTAATCTCTATAAAATAAATATAACTTTTTGAGACTAAAATTTATGGACGACCATTGAGCGACACTAAAGTGACCATGAACATGTCTACCTACTTCCTAGTGTTAAATGAGGGTCATAAACCAGTGTGAGGAATTAGTATTTTGATTTACAATTGACGGTTACGGTTAGGGTTTTCACTGCGAACTAACATAAGCTGTAATATCAAAACGCTATTTAACCGAATGGAAGAATGAATTCCATGACCAAAATCTATAATCTGTCATCGTAAGTCTGATTGCTTCGTTCATAAATTATAGTCTCGCTACCTTGATCCTATACAATGAAGAATCAGTAACTGTTCAATTGTAATTAATTTTAAAAATCTTAAAAATTAAACTATTATCAGAAGGGGTTTTGTGGAGATTTTAGTAATGCTCACTGCTGAGGAGTCACATATTAGGACGAAACGGCCGTCTAGTGCTTCCAGGTTTTCCATAGTGGTCTAGCTCCAATTGACGCTCGGATAAAGGAAGGGGGTTGGGCATGGGGTTGGATACCCCATCTCGTAGAAAACTAATTCACTAGAAAAACGCTAACCAGGAAAAAAAATAATTCAAATCATTTTTCAAACCTTAACTTAATAAAATAGTTATATCTAACAAATTAGAAACATTTATCAATTCCATGGATATAGTTTTTAAAAATAATACAATGCTACAGACTAAAACAAGATAACTGTCACTTATCCGTCAGGTAAATCAACTACAATGTTTTTTCTCTTATTCGTAAAGATTGACGTTTCCTAAATAAATCTTTTCAAATTTGAATATTGATGTTTTATCCCAGAGTAGGTTAGTGTATCTTCTTCGACTGGTATTGATTTCTAGGGAAAACGAGTTCCATTTATAATTAAATTAGCCTGTAGTCATAAATATCTAATTTAATATAGTAAACGTGAATAGATTAATATTTTCATTATTATTTAAGAAGCAAAATAATCATAAATAAACGTGGATGGTGGTTATCAATGGAATCCAGCGTTTCGTTCACACAGGGACTCAAACCCTGGTACAGTTCACTTCAAACATCATCGCGTTATCAATTTAACTACTGAGTCCCGATAGCCACTAGCTTATGCAATGGGATGAATTATGAACTCATTTTGTATTGTTTGTTTGAATCGCCCTAATGATGTTTAGGACTGTAATTGATCAGTCTCTTGTTGGTATATGTGCAGCCAGTGAGGATTACCTCGATATTGCCTGAAGCCAAAAGTTTTATAAGCAGTGAGAAGATATAAGCAAACAATAACAAGTGAATTTAAAATAACCATAAATTAAAAACATCAGGTGATCGTAAGAAAACTTTAACACAATTTAGAAAATACTTTTCAACCAGGTGAAAATTGCCTAAATTATTTTGTTGACTTATTTAGTTTACAAATCTACAAAAATAATGTCTAAATATAAAGGGAAAAAAACACTTTTTGAGTTAAGGAAGAATTCTCGTTCCGGCTCCAACATAATTTCCTGGAGTTCTAGTGAGAAGCCTTGACTAGTAAAGTCCAATCCATGTCGGGTAGAGACAGGAATCTATCTCAGACAATAAATGAATAAAATTCATGGATCGATGGAATTTAGACATTAACATCGTTAGATCCCGGCCCAGTGGTCTAGACGCTAAGCGTCCACATACGAGGTCAAGGGCTAAGGATGCTCACTGCTGACGAGTCCCGTACTAGGACAAAATTGCTGTCCAATACTTCCGGGTTTTCAATGGTAATCTCACATCAATTGGTTTATTATGTCCATCAAAAACTTAACAATCTCCACAACACCATACTGATTATAATTCATTTTCAAACTTGTACAATCACAACTATACATACTTGTTTTTCGAGATAATAATAATTACAATAATAATGATAATGAACTTATGCCTATTTTTAGCCACACCACGTTAGTTCCTAACAGGAAAATCTTAACGATGTCTTTGGTTCATCTTATCCACTAGAAAGTGGAAATCATTCAACTTGAAAGCATATCCAAATGACAATTTGGAATTATAATACTTTATTTCATGAGTCGATCTAAGCTAGACCACTGTGGAACACCTGGAAACACTGGACAGCCATTTCGTTCTAGTATAGGACTCCTCAGCAGCGGAGCTCCATACTAGATCGAAACGGTCGTTCAGTGATTCCCCGTTTTCAATAATGGTCCGACTCACGAATTCAACTATTGACATTACTACAAACACCAAAATTCCCCATTCTGATAATTTGGAATTGAACAACACACAAACTCAACCTTTCAAAACACACTTCATATTGAAAGTTAAATATATGATAGAGCCATTCAATCTGATTATTTAAGTATTTTTAAGAGAGTTTTATACCATTAATCTGACATAGGCTAGATAATAAACAGCATTAGCTCATAAGCAAAAATGGATGATGACTAACAGTGGAATCCAAGATGCCCGTTAGCTCATTTTACTAGTAAATACGAAAACGGTGCATTATACAACTTATTGTATCATAAATGAATATTAATGAAAAATTAAAAATAATAACAAAACAGATGTTGACTTCTTTCTAGCTTTTTTCGATGAAGTTTTGTTCTTTGAGTTAAATGGTTTAGTCGTAGAGCTTTCATCATTCTTCTGAATGACATCATCAGAAGCTACATATCTTCTTCAACATCTTACTTCTTCTTAGTTCTAAATGATAAATAACGAACGACGAGTTTGCTACAAAATTGTTTTACGGTTTTTGTCAACAGCATAGTAAGTAATATAAGATTTGAAAATGGTGATCGAAAGCACTTGTTGAGGATTAAGCAAAAAAGATTATTACAAGATAATTAAACTATAGCAACAAGTGTTTCACTAAAATTTATCAAACTTTCAATCTTTTAAGTGTTATAACTTGTAGTCTGTGTCCTATTAGTGCATAACATGATGATACCGCCAATTAGAGAACAGTGAATTATCGATCGAACCAAATGACGCATAAAACAATTATAAGCAGTCTAGAATCCTTATAGTTCCTGCTTCCCACCGAGTCCTGCTTGTTAAGCTCAGAACACAAATCTCAGCCTCTGCGATATGAATCATTTATTTCAAAAACATATTGGATTTATATAGAAACCAAACAGACCGCATCTCACTACAAAATAGGGAACAACATTTGTACAATATTTAGCCAAATGTGGCTGTGAATTTGGAAGACTGTAATTGATAGACTGGGTATAACTCAAGAATGTTAAATCGTAGAATAACAGTTTATAGGTCAATATAAAGCTCATAATAAGAGGGACATGAATATGAACAGTATAGTTATTTAACAATTGTACGATAAAAATATACCCGTAGTATTGATCCATAAATGGATCCCAGAAGTTACCATTCATTATTCACATCGGGATATAACAATATGTTAGATAGTTCGATGCCAGTTTACTATAAAGTTTATCTATGTTATGTGCCAATGAGAATCATAATTCAGTCACTCAACTGTAATATGTACTAAATAACTTGAATATATAGATACACTATTGTGAAAAGTACTGATGACGTTATTATCATCTTAAAGATATAGAGAATTTCTAAACACAACACTGTACAAAGTTTTATATCGGGAAAGCTTTAAAAAACATTTGATTCTCCAAAGTTAGTACTGGTGTTTAAATAAAAGTCATATTTATTAACCACTATCATCGTCTTATTATGAATCCATGATCTGAATATCCGATTGTTTTAATTCTTAATACATTCAAATGAAAAGTATTTCGGTAACATTATGCTACGTGCTATTTATGTCGACATAAGTAGTATATAACATTAGTCAAGAATAGAATGTCTGGTGGTTGAAGGTTGAGTATATCAATGAGGGAAGAACAGAAACAGAAAGCAATTGGTATGTCACTACAGAAACAATGAAATCTGAGACAGTTGATGAACAATTTGCGAATGAATTATTGGAATATGGTTTCTCTATTTTACCAAGTAACTCGGTATATTTTGTGCTACATATCGATTGTCCTCACCTGTGTTCCCCTTCACTACAACATCACTGTGTAGTAAGTATTCGTTAAATTATAGTATCTCCTGACTTGCTTGACTAGTCTGATACAAATACGCAAACTTCATAGTGTTAAATGCCTTCAATTTATTTCTCAATAATAAACCATGTGTGATGTAGGGTAATGTGCGTCATGTGAGAACGAATCCTGATGGTATTAATCAGCGTCTGTCTCATTTTTACAGTGCACCAACACATTTTTAAGTAAAAATCTTCTCGTTTCAAACCCTTAATTCCATCAGCTTATTCAATTGTACTTCTAACTCACTAGACGTATCCCTATGATATTCCTTCACATTCCTTGATCAGTTCTTAAAAAACAAGCTGTATAAACAATACAACGTAAGAAGACTATCTAGAGTAGATTAAAATATATGGTCAAAGATGATGAGTATTTTAAAGAAAATGCAAGTGATATATTTTAATGCTTACGATGTAGTGTATTTATGACAATAAGAATGATTCCATAATGAAATTCTTACAATCACTTGAATATAAAATCTATACAATCCTAATTATGTGTTTACTATAATATGCTATTTAACTTGTAATAAATATTGATCTATTTTTTGTAGTCATTTCTTCTACACTTATTGAAAGAAGCAAAACCGGAAACTAATATTGAAGAAGGAAAATTAATTGAGTATACTTCATCCATTGTAAGTTGATTTCTTCATTTTTTTTGGGGGGGGTCCATATTTTCTGTTAATAATATATCACTCTTTGATATTGTATTGGTAATAGTTTTATTCATTTTATATGAAACGAATATAAAATAAAAGTACAACTATGAAAATATTGTCATACAAATCATATAGTTTTTATAAAATTGTGAGAATGAGAAGTGAATGTTTGACGCTTTCATCAGGTTGGTGGATATGGAGGGTCCACCTAGGGGAGTTAGAAAACCCTGATTCCAAACCAATCGTGCACTTGGGCCCCAGGGTTAAGGTCAAATCTTCATTCTCTTTACCAACAACCTTCAGGTCACGAGTCGAACGATTAATTTCACGAACATTACGTAATCATCGTAGACGGATTGAATTAAAACATTTTGACTACTAGACTTCTAAACATCATCAAATGATCTAGAAGTTTGAAAGGATTTTCCAATTACAAAAAATACCACATATGGATTAGCTGAAAGAAATTAAAAAATTCATCATTTAATCAATAAATTTAGGCTTCAATTAGGTCACTGAGATTAATTTAGTTATCCAACATGTTGGTAAACAATCATCATATTTTAATTCTATACATTTAGTGGTAATAAAATTAACCAAAATTAACTTTACATTATTCAATCGATAAAAAAATTAATGTCAAACGTTAACCAATCTACGAAATCGCTTGAACATCCTCCATTGTACTGAGTTAGATACCTGTCTCTACGCGACACGGATTAGCTCCACTGGTCACAGTTTCTCACAAGACCGTTGAGAATTACCTCATGAAGCCAGCCACTAGTGAGCACATGGTAATTATCAGTATAGGATTGTAGAAATTATTAAGTTATTGGTTGAGATCATGAAACGATTGATGTTAGGTCACCATTGAAAACATGGAAGAACTGAACGACCGTTTCGTCCTATTGTGGAACCCCTCAGCAGGGTGCATTCGCGTTCCTGTTTGCGGGATTCAAACCCAGGTTCTTCAGTCCCGCGTGCGAACGCCAAACCTACCAGACCACTAAGCCGGAATCCAACGGTGTTAATGTCTAACCTCAACTATTCCATAATGCACACTGATGAGTCACACAATAGGATGAAACGACCGTCTAGTGCTTCCAGGTTTTCAACGGTGACCTGACATAATTTTTTTCATGACTTCAATTAATTGCTTAATAATCTTCACGACCCTATACTGATAAAAAAATTATAATGTTCACTCATATATCTAACTAACTAAACATACTGAGACATAGAACTACATTTTTGATAAGTAAACTACTGTAAAGATTTTTATGTGAAAACTTTTACATTTGCCTAAAGTATATTTTGTGATTAATATCACGGACTGATTTCAGCAAAACAGCCATTAGAACCCATGAGTTAGTAGACAGCTGTTTTGACCTAGAATAGGATTACTGGATATTGGCTAAACGGTCTAACTGTCAAAAGCTTGAGCGGAACTTAAGGTCATGTGTTCAATCCTTAGTGGTATAGTTATGGATTTACATTACTGAAGTGTTCTATGGAATGACAAAATAGTTGTTAAATGCTTCATGATTTTCAACGGTTTTTTTAACAACAATTAAATCACAGCGCTAACGATGATATACAACTACTTCCCTAAACCACTTGCAATAGATAAACATTTTAAAAGAAAAATGAAGTATTCATATTTGTTAGGAATATTTTGTACTTAGGCATAAAATAACGAAACTTTAAAATGAAGAACCTAATGAAAGCTCGTGTTAGGTCACATAGAATTTGAATAAAGATATCTGACGTATTTTGAATAAATTTAGGGAAAAACTAATATCTGTTTAACTTATGTTACTTCGGTGAGACTATAATTTATGGACGAACATTGAGCGATGCTAAACTTACCTTAAGAAGATCCACCTACTAACTAGAACTAAATGAGGGTTATAAAGCAGTTTGAAGAATAAGGATTTACAGTCGATGGTTAGGGTTACGAATTAGATTTATGGTTTTCATCACGAATTGACATAAGTTAAAATGAAGAATATTTGAGCGAACAATTGTTTTCAATAACTTCATCATCAGGCTCTACAGTTATAAGTCCATAATTATAATATTTTACAAACGCCAAAAATAAGGCATGTTTTAATGAGTTTGACAATGTTATGTGTTAAAAATGGTAAACGTTTGCATCTGTTACGATATATATATATACTTCAAAAAATTGTAATATTTGCAAATGTAATAGTACTATTGCAAAATTGAAAATAATTTTGTCAACTGAGATAATAATATTGTTGTGTAAATATAATACGTAATAAGGGGGGGGGTGTGTTATCAAGGTAATTACGGTCAACAAATTGGGAATGATGGATATGAAGATTAAGATATAGATAATGACAAATAATGATAATTAGGAAAATAAATAAAAATGAAGGAAAGAAGGGGTAAGAGGTTTATAATATTCAGTCTAGGTATTTGGTGATCTAGTCGTAGGCCAGGGTAAACACAGAGGCTGGATATATTTCTTCTGGATGCATAAATTAGGTCTTCTGGAGTTGATCCAGATGGCTTCGGCTGTGTAAAGCAGTCGTAATCTAGCTCCTTGAGGTAGATATTTTGGAACTTGATATAAAACAGAGAAAGCTTCCTCTATTTTAATATGATGTTCACTATCTACCAAGTGAGAAAGAATGGTGCTGTTACTCGATTTGGTGACTCCTTTTCCCAACCATGCTGGTACATGTTCACGAACACGCAAGGATAAAGCCCTCTGAGTACGGCCTATGTAACTAGCTCCACAGGAGCAGTTGAATTGGTATACACACATGGAGGAGCCCATCTACGGTAACTTATCCTTGATTAGTTGTGTGAGTACTGGTTTAGTCAATAAAGTTATGTGTAACTTAGCGGCCTGAAACGTCCTCTCGACAGATCTTTTGAGTCGACGTGTTAGAATATCACCCGCTATGTCGCCTTTAAAGTCAAGTTTCAGATATAAGGTCTTTTTACTGACCGTGTCGCAATGTCTTCTCTTTTTAATACTGTGTACGAGGTATTTTTTGACGAAATTATCCGGATAGCCATTATTACGTAATGTATTCTTTAGTATAACTATTTCTTCCTCCACACTCTCGCTCGTACACGTAGTAGCCTCTCTACTTCAAATTAGTTCATTATGCTTGTAACTTTATCATACATTTTATTCACTAATAAACTGTAGTCGCCGCTTCTTATTATTTCCTGAATTCAAACACTGTTTGAGGATTTATATGCTACTGATTATTACGGTGATTGATTAACGAAACTAAGCCACTACAGTCTAACATGATGATACATGACACGTAGAATTTTTTATGATTTTTTTAATAAATGCAGAAAAAACTTGTTGGATTCAAATTGTTCTGAAGTAGCTTATTATTGTTTTCTTTCATTTTGTAAAGCTTCAGTTATTCGATCAAAATAAAGATGGTAAACTTCAACTCAGTGAAATGGCAAGGTAAAGTTTGTTCCAAATATATGTTAAATATTAATAGGTATGAATACACATATCAATAAATATACTTACTGCCTTCTAGTGGCGGGAGTGTTGTTTACGAAACTGACAGGACAAAAAGCGAATTTCCAATGCTTTAACCGAATTGATGAACATGGAGAGTACACCTAGGGAGTTGGAAAACCTTGATTTCAAGCCAATCGTACAAATGGTCTCCAGGATACTAAGGAAATAAATGGCGTCTGAAACAATTATTGGTTACCAGCTACCACTGCCTTGTGGATTAGACCTTTAGGTCTAAGGCTTCGCGTGTCACCCCTTAAGGAAACCACGTGCTTCGGTTTGGGCACCAAGGCAATATAACCGCCCACACACAACTGAACTGGCTTGTGTGGCGCATATGTTTTCAGTGCCCCTTAGTACCAATATTTATATATTCAAAGAAATAAATAAAATAAATAATAATATCAATTTTGTTTACCAACTTTATTTTCACCTTGTATTTGATATTACTGACAATCCTTGATACAGGGATTATGTCAAAATAATATATGAATTATATTGTTTCAAAATATAAAACCTTGTCTCTTCCAAGGAGTATCATAATCGATCCAGTTTATCATTGTATATTCTCTAATCATTACCTTGAAAAAGAAACATAGTTGTAAGTTGTATTTTGTCAGATAAATATTGCTTATTGAACTTTAGTGATCAACTTACGATTAAGTCACTAGGCTATACAACCTGACTTTGTTATATGATATGTTTAATAGTAGATAGATTAAGGTAATGATTAGAAATCTTTGAAAATCCATCTAGTATTGGCTAATCTACGTGAATGATTCATGTAGAAGCCTATCCTGATTATAATTTACAGAATGATATTAAAATCATATTGGACGCTACGGTATGAAAACAGTTATTATCATCATTATTATCATCAAAAAATCGGTTTGTGGAGATTGTAGTAATTTCAATAGTTGAGATCATGAGTCAATTGAAGCTAGGCCTGGAAGCACTAGAAGGCCGTTTCTTCCCATTGTTGGACTCCTCAGTTGAAGTTAGACATTTATACCGGCTCGGTGGTCTAATGGTTAAGAGTTTGCGCGCGAGACTGACAGGTCGTGGGTTCGAATCCCCCTGGGAGGAGTCCTAGACTCGCACTGCTGAGGAGCCCCCAGGTTTTCCATGGTGGTCTAGCTTCAATTGGCTCATGATCCCAACTACTGAAATTATTATTATTATTATTATTATTATTATTATTATTATTATTATTATTAAGTAGAGTATGCTATCCTATTTACTACAGTAAGAAACAAGATGTTGTTCAAACTGACATTGTTTATTTATAATGTAAATGTTATTTATATCATAATAATCATCATCAACCATTATTTTCAATAATTCCAACTTTTTTTAGACTACTTCCTGTTAAAGAGAATTATTTATGCAGACCAATCTTCAAGGTAATCTTAATCAAACTCTTATGACTATATATATATATACGGTAATAATATACATTTTGAGGTGGATAATGTAAATCAAGATATCTTCTTCTAATTGACACAAGCCAATACATTACCTAAAAGGAAATGGATAGTATAAAGTACAAATGACAAACTGTAATTTTAATCTATTTAAACTGTTGGATAAATATGGAACATTCTTTCTCTCATGTTATGATACAAAGGATTTATCAGTAGTATAACTGTTATAACTTGTGTCCTGTGTCCTATTAATATATTAAGTAATGATACTGCCAATAAGAGAACAGTGATTTATCGACCAGACCAGTGACTCATAAAACCCACACGAGCAGTCTAGAGACCTTATCGGTTTTACTTTCTGCCTAGCCCTGCCTGTTAAGTCCAGAACACAAATCTCAGCCTCTGCAATATGAATCCTTATATTTCAAACATACTGAGTTTATATACCAATAAAACAGACCACATCTCACTACAAAATAGAAAACAATATTTGTACAAAACTTAACTCAAAGTGGCTGTGAATGTGGGAGATAATAATTGATAGACCGGGCATAACTCAAGAATGGTTAATCGTATATTAATAGTTCATAGGTTAAAATAAAGCTCGTAATAAGAGGAACACGAATATGACAAGTTTAGTTGCCTAACAATTATACCATAAAAATACATGTATAATGTTAATCCAGAAATAGATCCTAACAATTATCATTTATTATTCTCATGAGGATATAACAATAATAAAATAATATTGTATTTTCTTAAGTAGAATAATGGAGTGAATATATTACTTAAATAATTTTAGTAAATAACAAGTAACCTATACATCTATAATCTTTAAAGAATTTCTTCAAATATATATTTCAGCTTAAAATACTATTATAACTTGTGACCGCCGATTAGAGACCAGTTATTTATCGATCGGATCAATGACGCGTAAACCCGTATGAGCAGCGTAGAGTCCTGATTGGTCCTGATTTCCGTCTAGCCTAGACAGTTAAGTCCAGAACACCAGTCTCAGCCTCTGCAATATGAATCCTTATATTTCAAACATACTGAGTTTATATACCAATCAAACAGACCACAACGTAACATAAAATAGAAAATAACATTTGTACAAAATTTGGCCAAAAGTGGCTGTGAATGTGAGAGGCTATGACTAATAGACAGGGCATAATTCAAGAATGCTAAAACATATGATAATAGTTCATATGTCAAAATAAAGCCTATAATTAGAGGAATATGAATAGTTTAGTTATTTAACAATTATGCGGTAAAAGCATACGTTTAGTATTGGTCCATAATTGGATCCTAAAGTTACCATTCATTATGTTTATCGGGACATGACAAATACATGTAAAATAATAAACAGAGAATCAAATTAATCATCTTCTAGACCAATTAGAAAGGTAGTGGCTAATGTAAATAACTTTGAAATCAATGAGATTTCCTTAAATTAATAATGAATAAAATATTATATGCCATTATATACGATCTACTATTGTTGAAAATAAATTATTCTTCATTGATTTACCATGTGAATTCTCAGTGTACTGCTACTATTACTGTGGTGTGAGCTACTTATATCCACATAAGTAGTATATAACGATAGTCACACGTAGAATGTATTTCAGTGGAAGATCGAGAGGGAAAGAACCAGAACGAAAAACAATTGGTTTGAAAATGCGTGAACAAAAAAATCTGAGATTATACGGTCAATTTTGAGACGATGAAAAAATATTTTGCAAATTAACCATTTGATGTAGGGTTTTCAGATTTTATTGTGATGTTCTGTAATTTTGTTCTAACATACATCCGATTGTCGTCAATCGAATTCCTTTTTCACTACACGACTACTCTTACTCCACTTTTAAATCGGTTACATAACTTCATTTCGGAACAACAGTAATAAAAGTTCCAACTGTTGGTCAACCTATAAATCGCATTTAATTGTATGATAATTAATGGAATTCTGGAAAAAAACATTTAGCTTTAAATCAGGAAGAAGCCAGATACAATTTTTCATTTTATAGTAACAGTTTGTAGTGTCGGTTCTTATGTTAAACCCATATTCTAGCATCTGGACAGGTCAATCTATCCATTCTTCTTGAATCACGTTTTGACCTTGCCACTTGTTCGCTTGTTGACCCCAACTGTTTTTACATGAGCGTATGTGTGTGTACACTTCTTATCCTATTCATCATATGTCTTTAACTTATTTTTATTTGGCTATAACGCTTGATTAGATCAAGTCGGCTAATCCGCCATCTCCACAACATGTCATTTCGTTTCGCTTCCTTCCTTTTGGTTGTTTGCCTTGATCAATTATTGTACTTACTTAATTCCATTGTTCACCAACGCGATTTAAGTCGATAATTATATACGAGGATTGACAAAATATATCATCTTCTTTTGCCAAACGCATAGTTGAAACAGGTCATAAAATTGATCTTAACTCGACTTTTGTGGTGTTGTACAAAATTGTAAGAGGGTGTATACAAAAGTTTATTGTAGCTTTAGCTATACGAAAATTCAAACCCCGTCTGTGTATTCAAAAACAGTTTGTTCTCACCTGAAATCTACTCTGGTAATATTAACTTATTATTATCCAGAGTGATGAGGTTTCAAATTGTTTTCACATTATTTTCTTTATTATCCTTGTCTCTTCTTACCCTCCATTTCTATTCTAGTTGACCTCTTATTTTTTTATATATAAATGTATTTACAATTGATTGATCACTGGGTGTTGATCAATGTCATGTATATCAGGTACTTCTTAGTACAAATTGAATCCTGTCGACCAAGTTACAATATGGTCACTAGCCTAGTTGACTCGACATTACGTGCACTATGTTGAGATAAGATGGCGGTTAACTATCTCTAACCACCATCTTATATATAAATGTTCTTAACAAGTATATGTGTGATCAGATTGCTTGAAATGTATTGAGTTAATATTGTCATCACATAGTTCTAATAATGTTCGTCTTTTTATCACACTATGGAAATTAATCAAAGGGATTAATTGCTTTATATTTATTTTTATTATAGAATGCTTCGAAAATTACATCAGCTGATATTGATCGAGCATTTTCACTTTATGATCTTGTAAGTAAAATATTTGTTTTATTGATTTAAATACACAGTGGTATACAATGAACTCTCCTGATCCATGATAACTATTTTGAGTTATAATTTAAAGATATCATAATAATCGCTATAAATTTCAAGTACTCAGTTCGAAGTAAACGGTCTACATTTCAAGCATTAATCTATTCATGAAATAGAATAATAATTATCCAAGACTGTTGGTGACGTTTGTCTTACACTAGACATTGTTGAACTCTGTTTATCACGGCTTTTGACTAGAAATTTAACGCTTCAGTGCTATTTATTATCAGGTAAGGGTTTGTTGTTAATTTAAGTCATCAAATCCATCGTACATGAGCTAGTGACCATCATTGTTCTAATTTAAGCTCATAAAAAGTGCAGAATAACACTATTACATTGAAACGGTTGTTGCTGATGGATTTAGATAATCGTTACTTATGACTACTGACTTACTAATAATATCATTGGTGATCACTGTTCTATGATTTCTTAACTCGTAATCACTTTGATCATTAACAGATATGAATATTCTAGAGTTTAATCCTTTATAAGATCGATTCGACGAACAGCTAAGAATGAAATAACTATCCTTAAAATTTTCATAATCAGTGAATTTATCATCTAATATTAGATATTTTTGGAAAGTTTTCTTAAATCATAAAATTAGATTGTTTTTTATCTTTTTATGTTTGTTGAAGAAAAAAAAGAAGCTCAACTGATCAATCATTTACTGATGGCTTTTAATTTTAAATTATATAATACTATAAATCAATTTCAAACGTACAAATAACTGATCATTAAAAATTGATCCTTGTTTGTCTAATAATTTATTACCGATTGAATTCTGTAGATCAATGTACATGATCACTCTCTAGTCTAAGTGACTCCAAATCGCATGCACTTACATACTTACGCCTGTTAGTTTTCGTGGACGACCATAGGCCGCTCACCAGCAATCTCCATTCAACTGTGCTCTGGGTATTCCTTTCCAACTCTTTCCAGTTGTTATTCATCCTTCTCATGTCTGTTTCTATTTTCTGACGTAATGTGTTCTTCGGCCTTCCTGTTTTCCGTTTCCCTTCAGGATTCCAAGTTAGGGATTTCCTCGTGATGCAGTTTGGTGATTTCCGTAATGGATCTCCTATCCATGCATGCAATATAATGAGATAAATAAATGTTTGAACGTAGGAAACATAAGGACCCTAAAAGAAGGTTTCCTGCAATCTAGTACTTGTTAGCTAGATTCACCAATAATCTTGAAAGTCTTGGTGATAGATGAGACTACAATTACCGCAGAGATACCTTCTTAATAAGTACCAAAGGACATGATACGTGAATATAAAGCTTTATAACAACTACAATTGAAGAACATATAGAACTCAAAACAACTTTCAAACAATATCAAAGTCAGAATCTTCAATAAGAACGTGAAGACAGTTCTACAATACGGAGATGAAACTTGGAGAACTACTACAACCATCGTCAAGAAGGTACAAGTGTTTATAAATAGTTGTTTACGCAAGTTACCTAACATTCATTGGCCGGATACCATCAGCAACAGTCTACTGTGGGAGAGAACAAACCAGCTTCTAGCTGAGGAGTTAATTAGAAAAAGACGATGGAAATAGATAAAACATACATTACGCAAATCATCAAACTGCATCGCAAGATAGGCCTTAACTTGGAATCTTCAAGGGACACAGAAAAGAGGAAGGCCAAAGAACACAATACGTCGGGAGATAGAAGTAGATATGAAAAGGATAAATAACAACTATGAAGGACTGGAAAGGATTGCTAAGGACAGGGTTGAATGAAGAATGCTGGTGAGCGGCCTATGGTCCTCCACGAGGAGTAACAGGCGTAAGTAAGTAAGTAATTGAAAACCAGAAAGTTCTGAACGCTCGTCTTGTCCTAGTATGTTACTCTTCATCAGTACACATCTATGACCATTCATGAACGCTTAACTTGTAAACCAACGAGTCAGCATTCATTGATGTTTACACTTAACTTATAAAATTGTAGTTAAGTGAAACATAAAAATATTTCTTAATACAAATCTAAACTGATGAGGATAATTCGTTAAGGATGATCATATTTAAATATAATCCAAGCAATATCTTAATAGTTGTAGGTTACTTTGAATATTATTTGACCCTCGTGTAATAATAAATCATATATGACAACATTTTGTATAGTAAAAGTAAGTTTTATCTTTACCAAGTAAAGCAATTAGCAATATGGGGATTGGTGGAGATTGTAACATTTTCACAGTTGAATTCACGAATCAATCTAAGCTAGACCACCATTAAAAAACCAGTAATCACTGAATAGCCGTTTCGTCCTGATATGGGGCTCGGACTCAAAATCTTCTCTCTTGTGTTCTAATGCCTAACCTATAGACCACTGAGTCTGAATCTAATAGTGTTAATGTTTAACTTCAATTGATTCATGATTTTGCACAATCTTTCATCCGTTGTGTCTGGTGAATAACTGTCTCTCATCCATCATGGGTTGGACTCTACTGGTCACCCTTTCTCACTAGAACTTCAAGAAATCTATTTTGAAATTAGTCACTAGTAAACATATGATCATTATCAGTATAGAGATTTGTGGAAATCGTAGTATTTTCACAGTTGAATTCACAAGTCAATTTAAGAAATTAAGATTTTTGAATGCTTTGCTTTTTTGTTGTTTTAACTATTGGAATAAGTGATATTTATCAATATGTATCAATGAATGATTATTATATACGCGATAAAATAAATAATAATTGATATTTCGCTACATTAGGATGCAAATGGTACAATAGAAGATGAAGAATTATCAGGATTCCTTAAAGATTTATTGGAATTAGCTCAAGAAGTAAGTAGACAGAAATAACTATTCTAGATCCTAGATATGCGTATATTATGCATATATACTTTATTTGTTTAGAAAAAAAGAAATGAATCGATATAAAATAGAGATTTTATGTTGTCGCCTGTGATTAATAGTATTCTATCTTCTTTCTGATGTTTTATACAATCAAATGTTTATTAAAGTTCCAATTAACCAAATGAATTTAGACTTTTTTTCTTACTTTGCTTACTGACGCCTGTTACTCTCAATGGAGCGTTGGCCTCTGACCATCATTCTCCAACCTACTCTGTCTTGGGCCTTCTTTTCTAGTTCTATTCAACTATTGTTCATTCTTCTCACGTCTATTTCCATTTCCCGGCGTAATGTGTTCTTTGGCCTTCAGGGTTCCATGTGAGGGCTTGTCTTGTGACGCCGTTGGGTGTTTTCCTCAATGTGTGTCCTATTCACTTGTAGTGCTTCTTCCTGATTTAGCCCTCCGCTGGGATCTGGTTTGTCCTCTCCCAAAGTAGGTTGTTGCTGATAGTGTCTGGCTAACGGATTCGCAATATTTTGCGTAGACAACTGTTAATAAAAACCTGTATCTTCTGGATGATGGCTTTCGTAATTCTCCAGGTTTCCGCCCCGTACAGTAGAAATGTCTTGACATTTATATTGAAAATTCTGACCTTAGTGTTGGCTGACAGTTGTTTTGAGTTTCTGATGTTCTTCAATTGTAAATATGCTACTCTTGCTTTGCCGATCCGCGCCTTCACATCTGCATCAGATCCACCTTGTTCATCAATGATGCTGCCCAGATATGTAAAGGTTTTTACATCTTCCAAGTCTTCTCCGTCAATTGTGATTGGATTGGTGCATGCTGTGTTGTATCGGAGAATCTTGCTTTTCTCTTTGTGAATTTTGAGACCTACTGTTGCTGATGCAGCTGCAACACTGGTTGTCTTCTGCATTTGTTGTTGCGTGTGCGACAGAAGAGCCAGATCATCTGCGAAGTCTAGATCGTCTAGCTGACAGTAGCTGGACAGTAGCATAACATGCCTCGTTGCGGATTCACTGAATTATAATGTTGTTATAACAAACGCTAATATCTATAAATACCCATCATTTTCTGTATATTTTGATTCTTATCTAACAAGCACTTCTCCAGTCTTCTTCTATCTTTTGATCTGCGGTTGTGGGGATTCTATAAGTTCAAGTGCGGTAGTTGTATACCGTACTCTGCGTTAATCAAGTAGCGAACTTAACATCAATAAAATGGTAGATACCATTGTTTATATTATTGACTTATTTTTTATAACTCAAGGTAAGTTAAGGTTATAGGCTGTTGAAATTCTAATTTCAGTCAAAGAAATTTGAAAGATATGAAATCTCGAATCTAAAAATTCATGTAATCCAGGTCATGTTAATTTTTAGGAAAGTGATATTTATTACAACACTCCTTTGCAACATTATACTTAAAAGTAAAATACCCTGGATTCCTCTGCTTAAAATGTTCATATCCTAAGACAATATCAATGCAATCCGAACAGTATGCACATATTGAAAATAACATATTAATCAATTGCAGTCCTAACCATTAATTGAGAAGATTCAAACGATCAATAGAAAATGGGTTTAATCTGTTCGTTTTTTTAGTTGGTTTTGGTAAGACTATAACTAAAGGACAATCTTTGAGTGACGCTAGACTGACCTTGAGAGTATCCATCAAATAACCAGGACCAATTGAGAGTTATAAACCAGTGTGAGTAATTAGAAATATGATTTACAGTTTATGCTTAAAGCTAGGAGTTAGATTTATGGTTTTCATCACAAACTAATATCAGCTATAATGCCAAAACTTTATTTAACCAAATAGATAAATAAATTTCGCGCCAAAATCCGAGACTTGTCATTTTATATCTGATTGGTTTGTTCATAATTTATAGTTTTGCGGTTGCTTTTTTAAATTTTTTTAGTCATCCGATTATATTCATAGTTGTTTTTTTTGTTGGTTTTATAGGATTATGATGAAGCTGATTTGGAATTTTTTAAAAAAGTCATATTAAATCAATGGGATGTAAATAATGATGGGAAAATTAATCGTGATGAATTAAAAATGATGCTTATGCAACAATCTCGTCTGTTAGGTGATAGATTATGAAAATTTATCCAATTATTCATTATTATTACTATTATTATTATTATTATTATTATTATTCAGTATTTATGTTATCCATTTTCAGACGAAAGAAAAAAGCAATGAATTGAGGAGACAATCTTAACGAAATAAAAAAGTGTGTTTCTACCTCGATGATAACTCCTCACTCATTCATTCTTTCCCTCTCTCTCTCTCTACCCCCCCCCTAGTTTTTTTCATTCAATAATACAGTCATACCTTTCTTCTAATTTTTTTTCTTTCTCTATCAATCGATCAATCATTCTCTATATTTTATTCATATTAACTTCCATTTTTTTAATTTCATGAAACCCATTTTATTGCATAATTGTTTCCGCTTATTTTAAATTTTAAAAAAAAACAAAAAAAAATGTATCGGTATTCAGAAAAGTTTAATTGATTTTTCATTCATGTCATTATTATCTGCAATTGTATTTTATCATTAATAAAATAGTAATAAATAACATGGTGATGATAATAATAATAATAAATTGAACCTTAATTCATAGTGAAGTAATGAATTACCATTTATAGTAGTATACTTTAGTTTACTAAAAGAAATTATTTGTCTTTTTTGGTTCTGTAAAATTCATTATAATATTGTAACCAACTCAATAGTTATGTTTATGCAAAAATGGATAATATCTAGTAGTGAAATCCAATTTATTGCATATTTTGACCTATTTAGAACTCGTCAGCTGGATGTATCTGAATTGCAGAGTTGATGTTCACTCTGGGACTTGAACGAAGAACTGTTCGCTCTAAACGTCATTGTGTCATCGCCTTAGTTACTGAGTACTAATAGCTATCTAATCGTGAAATGGGGTGAAGTTTAAACTCACTTGATATTGTTTTACTTGTATCTTCCCATTGTTATTTAGGACTAAAATTGATCAGTCTCATGTTGGCATATGTAAAGCTCATGCGGACTGCCTAGATATAGCCTAAAGTCATAAGAGTGGCTAATAGTGGAATCCAGTTTGATGTGCGTTTCGTCCTATTTCGCACTGGTGTGCTGGATAAACCTGCATCGCTGAGTTGATGTTCACACCGGGATTCGAATGCAGTCCTAGATAATGATGGGAAGATACAAGTAAAACAACACCAAGGGAGTTATGTTTACATTTCAAAATACAGAAATTATGCAGCCATATATATATATATATATATATATATATATATATATATATATATATATATATATATATATATATATATATATAGTAATCTTTTTGTATCCATGGGTGTTTTATTCAAACTAAACAAAGTTTTGTTAGTGATGAAACATTAAAATACTTTAGTGATCATTGTGTATCTGACTCTACTTCGTGTTGTAACTTGTGGCCTTCTTCTCCTATCATTATACGATGTAATGTTACTGCCAATTAAAGAACGGCGAATTATCGACCGGACCAATGACGCATAAAACCCACACGAGCAGTCTAGTATCTTTATAGGTCCTTCTTCCCTGCCTAACCCTGCCCGTTGAGTCCAGAATACAAATCTCAGCCTCTACGATATGAATCACGTATTTCAAACATACTGGGTTTATATACAAACCAAACAGATCACATTAAACCATAAAAGAGAAAACAACATTTGTACTAGAACTAGCCAGAAGTGGTTGTGAATGTGGGAGACTATAATTAATAGATTGGATATAACTCAAGAAAGGTGAACTGCATAGTAATAATCTATGGATCAAAATAAAGCTTATAATAAGAGGAATATAGATATACATAATCTAGTTACTCAATAGTTATAGAATAAGAATATGTGTGTAGTATTAAATCATAAATAGATCCCAATGGTTACCATTCAATATACTCGTCGGGATATAACAGTTTGATCATGTGATGATTGTATAAATGATTATTATTGAGATATACATCCGTGCTATCCTCGTTTATAATCATCGACTTAAATCACGTTAGTCAATAACGGAATTAAATAAGTCAAATACGAGAATGAATTTCAAATACGTGTATTTTGTATAATCGTTGATCAGAACAGGCAATCAAAGAAACGGAACAAACAATTGAAGAGAAGATAGCGAAGCGATATGTAGTGCAGTAGGCTCGACATAGGGTTAGCCATTACAACACTAAATAATTCCCAGTATCGGCCATTTTGTTAATACAAAACACTGAAAAGCAAGTCACAGAGATATTAAATATACTGTAATTCAGAGTAGTTTGTATAAGATACTATAAAAATATCATATTGACTAAAGAGGAGACCTACTTTATGTTAAAAAAAGTTAATGTTCTTTTTTCAATATCATGGTTCATTTATATACAGGACAGCTTACTTTGATAGAGTTTCGTTCACTGAGCTGGAAAGTTTTGTCGTGGAGCTTTCATCGTTCTTTTAAAGTTTTTACTGATAATGTCGTTCAGAGGAACGATGTAAGCTTCACTACCAAACCATTCAGGTTAGAGAACAAAACTCCATCAAAATCATCCACCTGAGCTACAAATCTTCTCCACCATCTCAGGACAGCTTACTGTTATGTAATACTATTTAAGATGATTAAAACTAAACTAAACTAAGGAGATTAATTTATGTTAACCAAATATAAATTAATGTTACTTCCAGATATTATAATAGAACTTCATTCAACTATTATAACGAAATATACTTTAAAGCTTTCAATACTACTTACATTAAACTACAAATGTATGTCTTATTAACATGTGATACTGTTTAAATATTTATTCTCTACGATAATAATGTCAATTAGATTATTTTTTTAAAAATTTAGTCTAACATGAACATCGATTTCGGTCATTTTACATCCTTTTTACAATTCATCAGCTGATAGATAGATCAAAACAACTTACTGAGTTAACTAGATACCAGTCAGTCAGTCAGTTACAACGTAGGACCAGGAACATACATGCATCGGTCCAAGTTGTCATACCTCATTGGCACAGCAAGACGAACATCGGATTGATAGGAGTAGTTACTTCACTGATAGTAATATATAAAAGAAAGATTGCATATAAGGATATAGTATAAGAAGAAAGAATTAGTTCTTAGAAAGAAAGATATGAAGCGATTTTGATCTCTTGGTTTAAGGGAAGAAAAAGAGTGTATACACCTACTCTATTGTGATCGATTCTGAGCCATGTTACCAAGAGTCTCCAACCATTGGTTACGATTGGTCACGCGGGCCCCAACCAAGTAGTTTGTATCTACCAACATGGCTCAAAGCAGAAGTTAGTGGTTTGGCTGCCCCTAACTTTCTTACAACCATCCCCAACACTAGTCATGATAATCGGTGTTCAGGCATACGTAGCACGTGGCCCAACCATCTCAGTCGATGATGATTCACAAACTCATCACCTGATTTATCATTGTCCCCTAACACCCTGCATCTAACCTCACTATTACTTACCCGGCGATCCCAGCAGATGCCAGCAATATTTATAAGGCATCTGTGGTACTAGATACCCGTAATTAACCTAGATATAGTAAAAGGACTTTGGAAGTAAAAAAGATAGAAAGCACTTGTATTAAAAAACCCAACATCATTGTAAACATATATTGGACAGTAAATGTAATTATGTATAGTAAAAATATACTAAGATTAATTCAATACCATGTAAAAATAGTTAAAAATTATTGTATCCCGACGAGTATATTGAATGGTAACCATTGGGATCTATTTATGATTTAATACTACACACATATTCTTATTCTATAACTATTGAGTAACTAGATTATGTATATCTATATTCCTCTTATTATAAGCTTTATTTTGATCCATAGATTATTACTATGCAGTTCACCTTTCTTGAGTTATATCCAATCTATTAATTATAGTCTCCCACATTCACAACCACTTCTGGCTAGTTCTAGTACAAATGTTGTTTTCTCTTTTATGGTTTAATGTGATCTGTTTGGTTTGTATATAAACCCAGTATGTTTGAAATACGTGATTCATATCGTAGAGGCTGAGATTTGTATTCTGGACTCAACGGGCAGGGTTAGGCAGGGAAGAAGGACCTATAAAGATACTAGACTGCTCGTGTGGGTTTTATGCGTCATTGGTCCGGTCGATAATTCGCCGTTCTTTAATTGGCAGTATCGTTAATAGGGAACATAGCAACAAGTTTTAACAAAAATGCTAATTTAAAGGACATGGTTTTCGGTTGAATTATTTAAATAAATGCGATCAATTATTACCGATTAGTAACATATTATCTAATCTTAATCGATATAATTCTTAAGTAATAAAATTTGATTAAAAGTACACATCAGTTCACAAACTAAACTAACGGTAATATTTTGAATTTTCTTTAATAACTGTAGGCTTTCATAAGTGTTGTATATACTGAGTACCATCCAAGAACAAGTAGACAACTTTGAAAGTAAAGAAGAAAATGTAATTATCTACACAGTTATAATTGACATGATTGTTATTTATAATAGAAATCGCTACATAATTTAATGTTTAAGTGTGCTAAAATGCTACAGTTAGTGTAATATTCCGAATGTTGGCGCATATTTTCTTAGATTCAGCATTGTTTTTTAGGTTTTTGCTGCTGCTACTCAAGTCAATGTATTTCTTCAAGTAAGATGGCTAGTCTTATGCTATAAAATGTTAGCCAGATGAGTGGATGAATCTCGCGCCGAAATCTATGACCCCTTATCTTAAATCTGATTGGTTCGTTCATAGATTATAGATTATGAAAATGTAACACTTTCAAGTAAATTCTTTAAAAAAAACCTCGTTTAAAATCAAACTTATACTGGTATTTGAGTGATTTGAGAAACTTTGCTATTCTTGTTCTTATGCATTGAACTCTAGAATATGCTTAAAAGTATAAAAAGCAAATATTAGGATATTTATTCATGAGGCTCAATTTGATGACCTCCAGTTTTTTTGACATTAAAACAATCAATTCAGATATTCAGATGAAACTAACAGGATTATAATTTGACAACTTGAATGGATATTTCAGATATGAAATGTTGAGTGTAATCTATATGTTAATGAAAGTGTATATATCTTCACTTTCGGAAGTCAACT